GGCATGGTCACAATCTGTGAAAATTTATATTTGTAGTAGAGGAAAGTGGGGGTTTATCTCCAGGAGCAAGAAGGCTCCCCCAGAAGATGATCCCTCTTATGAGAAATGGATGCAAGAGAATTACACCGTTATTGGGTGGCTCGTGAATTCAATGCAGCTACAGATTAGTCAACGTTATCTATGGATGAACTCAGTTAAGGAAATTTGGGATAGTGTTGCAGAAACCTACTCCCAGAAACTAAATGTAGCCAGAGCCTATAAACTGAGGAGTGATGTGAAGAATTTAAGACAGGGGGAGAAATCCCTTGCTGTATACTTCTCAACCATGAAATCTCTGTGGCAAGAAATTGATCTAATAGAGGCTGTGACTTGGGACATTTCCAATGATGCAGAAACCTACAGGAAATTAGTTGAAAGGAACAGGGTTTCTGAGTTCCTAACTGGACTAAACGCTGAATATGACATCACAAAACAAAATATTTTATCCAAGGAAAGTGTCTCATTGTCACAAGCATATGCTTTGATCAGCAGTGAAGAAAGCAGAAGACAGGTATAGGTTCAAGGGGTTGGCACTAGTGATCACTTTGCAAATATGGGGGTTAAACCCAAAGGAGTTGTAGGGGCTCCTAGTGGCTTTGGAAAGAAGGACCAAAGACAAGTGCTGGAAATTACATCTTGGTCTTGTTCCTGTTCGATTCCAGAAGAAACATGATAGTAGAAAGACAGGGAGTGCAAATGTAGCCACTAGTACAGATACTGAAGTTGAGTCTGCCTGTGCACAGTTGGCGGCCATGAAAGTTGAGTATGAAAAATTTGGGAAGATGATCAGTCATCTCGAAGGTGTAACTTCATCTTCCAACCCTTCAGGAAGTCCAACCACCTCTGCATTTGCTCACTTAGGTATAAGAGCTTCTGCTAATCATGCAACCACCTCAGGTAATCTTAAGACCCCTTGGATCATCGACTTAGGTGCTTCTAATCACATGACCAACCTTTCTACTTTGTTTGCTTCATATGATTTGCTCCCTGGTCATGATAAAATCACCTTAGCCGATGGCTCTCTTGCCTCTATTTCTGGCAAAGGAATCGTCAAGGCTACAGACTCCTTACTCCTACCTTCCACTCTTCATGTACCTAGATTAAATACAAATTTGTTATCTGTAAGTAGCTTAACCAAGTCATTAAATTGTTGTGTAACCTTCTTTCCTTCCCACTGTGTTTTTCAGGATCTGGAGTCTCGGAAAGTGA